GAATCTACATGTATCCCTAGGCGATTTATGTTAAGATATTCATTGATGTATTTTTGAGAGTTTTTATATTTGAATTTGATTCTTTGGTCTGCACCTGCGCGTAGGGTGTTAATTTCTAAGGGTGTGTTTACGTTGGAGCTGCGATAAACGATAATAGCGACGATACTACCAAAACAACGAAATTGTTGTCATAGTTTTATATGCAGGTGTTTATATTGGAACGAGAGCTGCGATAAACGATAAGAACAACAATGAGAGCAGCGATAAGAGCTGCGCAAAATGAATTGAAAACGATTTGTCAGAACAAATCTGTTGTGGTAATTTTTATCTTTTTGGTCCCACAAGGGGGATCTAACAAAAATTTCACTAATTAAACAGTCGATATCCATGCCGACCACACCTGATACTAGCAAAGAAAATAGGGAATACAATTAGCGTCGCTCTTATCGTTAGTCGGCTGTCAAACTTGTGACAATTCGTCGCTCCAATATAAACACTTGCATATAAAACTATGACAACAATTTCGTTGTTTTGGTAGTACCGTCGCTATTATCGTTTATCGCAGCTCCAACGTAAACACACCCTTAGTCTTCAGACGCACGGCTAAACCCAGGACTTTCGAGTTCTAGGTCTAGTGTTAGTTCTAGTTTTATTGTTATCCAGTGCTAGATTGTTGTATATTTTTATTGCAATAAAAGTAGAACTAACAGTAGAATCTAACGTGAATCTAATCCCGAATTTTTATATTTCTAGGTCTAGTGTTAGTTCTAGTTTTAATCCTTATTCAGCGTTAGATTGTTGTATATTTTTATTGAACAAAAATAAAACAAATACTAAACCTAGAACTAGAAACATTCAGGTTCAGCCGTTTTACGAGACACGCGTCTAAACCAAAATGTTTCTAGTTTTACGTTTAGTTCTAGTTTCAGTTGTTATTCAGAGTTGAATTAAAACTACGAATTAGAGGAATTTCACTGTACATATACAAATATAATCAAGATGATTGCATTCGATTATTACATTTTCTTAAAATGATCGTTCCCTTTGTTATTCAAAACATGAATATAAGGAGGGTAATAAATTTTCAAGTTGAAAGACTTTGTAAACAAGCGCGATTTACGATTGTTTTAGAACCAACTCGTAATTCACGATTAACACATTTTCCGAGCACTATATGGCAAAGATGTTATTTTTATAATTAACAAAGGGGGCAATTTCCACCATCAATTACACCACTTAATTAAGGTTCTGCGTTGAGGGACAAGGGACAGATAATTGTGTGTCGTTGGGAAAGCAATTAGCGGAGGGGACTAAATTAACGTTGCAAAGTAAAATTTCTTACCTATTTAGCAAAATTTTTTCAATTATGTTTTGAGCATCAACATTTCTGATACTGACTAGATGACCTCCTCTTCTCCCGCATTCCATTTCGGCTTGTATCCAAGGTAATTTCATATCTTCAGCGGGTGATATACAAAATTGTCGGTAGGCAACCCAACCAAACTCGCACGTTCTAACGATTTCCTCAATTGGCTCAGCTCTATATCGCATTTTAAGACTTAACATATCCCCTTTAGTTCCAGATCTTAACCTAATCTTTAACACAACGCGATTTTCCGTTGAAACAGCTTCGATTTTTCGTTCTGCATCACCATGACGCGTACAATGACTCCATACGTTATCTCCATCAAGTAACTCCGTATACAATCCATCACACTTACTCCCATCGACGTTTTCCAATTTACCAAAATCTTTATTACTCGGTAAGCCAGTTGTTGTACTATCGCCTATATTTAAAACTAACGCTATTCTATTTCCGTATGGCAAATAGATTTTGAACGTGCACTGTAACTCCCCCGTTGGTTTTAACTCAAAGGATCCATTCCGCGAAGTAAACGTAACGTTGTAACAGTAATCGACGAGATGATAATTTAAATTGAAAATGGGATTTCCGCGTACGTAGAGAAACGGTGGAGTGTGCGAGGGCGGGAAATAAATGTGCCTATCAGTTTCGGAAAGTTCCTCCAGTTTTCCACAAACCCTCGCTTGACGATGGCTTCTAATAGCGTACTGATGTTGGCTTACATTTAAACCGGAAAAGTGGAGTTCTCCTCTATAGCACGGCACGTTCAATCTAATGATATCGACAACGAGACCATGTTCCGAACTCGACCATGGAAACCAACAGGTACAATCTCTCGATGGAAAATGATAGGAATGTATTGATGAATTTTGATTTTTCAGCCATAGTTGACAATCTAAAAAAAAATATAAGAATTTTAAATAGTCTGTAATAATTTTAATTAAAGGGTTTGGGGGTAAAGTTAGGGGTGAGATAATCAATAATACGTGAATATACAAGGTGCACCAGGTGCACACGATGTAGTTTCGCAGTTCGTTTAGATTAAAGTTTGGGTGCTTTCAGGTCGAGTTCAGGCTTACGCTGTTCAATACTTATCTAACAATAAGTAGAGAGTAGGTATCTCTAAACGAACGTGTTATGTTGCACAATCGTTTTGAAACGTAATAGTTTCATTGTAAGGGTCGTTAAATAGATGGTTATAAAAAATTCAAATTGATTTTTACACTACAACTTTTCGAATCAAAAAGTGAAAAACACCCTGTTCTTTTTACATCCATTACAATTACGTTTCTGAAATTTTGTTAATATGGGATGTTCATCCTCATCTTTCTATCTGATGTGTGTGATATGATATGTATGTTAAATTGAAGCTTAAACAGTGTTGTTTATGAAATTATATAAAAACTATAAGGTAATATTATTAGTTACTGTGTTTTTAAGGATAATGATATGATAAGTCTATTAAATTGAAGCTTAAAGATTCTAGTTTATGATATGATATAAAAACTATGAGGTAATATTATTGAAATTTACAGCAAAAAAATATTAAAGAAAAAATAGTGAAAATTATTAATCAAAATAATACGAAATTTAAAAAAAAATCATATCGACCGTATTTTGATAAGAATCTTGATATGATCTATATGTTAAATTGAAGCTTAAAGATTCTAGTTTATAATATGATACAAAAACTATAAACTAATATTATTACAATTTGCAGGAAAAAATTATTGAAGAAGAAATTGCCAAATTTATAAATCAAGAATAATACGAAATTAAAAAAAAATCATATTGACTGTGTTTGTAAGAATCATGATATGATATGTATGTTAAATTGTAGCTTATAAATGCTAGTTTATGATATGATACAAAAACTGTGAGGTAATGTTATTGAAATTCCCAGGAAAAGCTTATTAAAGGAGTAATTATCAAATGTATAAATCAAAAATTATACCAAATCTTCAACAAATCATATCAACTATATTTTTTAAAATCTTGATATGATCTATATGTTAAATTGAAGCTTAAAGATTCTAGTTTATGATATGATATAAAAATTATAAAGTAATATTATTAAGATTTCCAAGAAAAAATTATTAAAGAAGAAATTGTCAAATTTGTAAATCAAATGTAATACGAAATTTTCAAAAAATCATATCTGATGAAATTTTAAGAATCTTGGTATGATATATATGTTAAATTGAAGCTTAAAGATTCTAGTTAATGATATGATATAAATACTATAAAGTAATATTATTAAAATTTCCAGGAAAAATGTATTGAAAAAGAAATTGCCAAATTTATAAATCAAAAATAATACGAAATAAAAAAAATCATATCGACCGTGTTTTTAAGAATCATGATATAATACATATGTTAAATTGTAGTTTAAAGATTCTAGTTTATGATATGATATAAAAACTATACAGTAATATTATCAAAATTTCCAGGAAAAAATTATTGAAGTAGAAATTGTCAAATTTATAAATCAACAATTATACGGAATTTTCAAAAAAAACATATCAATTGCATTTTTAAGAATCATGATATGATATGTATGTTAAATTAAAGCTTAAAGATTCTAGTTTATGATATGATACAAAAATTATATGACATTATTGAAATTTTCAGAAAAAAATTGTCAAATATATAAATCAAAATGATACGAAATTTTCAAAAAATCATATCGACTGTATTTTTAAGGATCAGCATATGATATGTATGTTAAATTGTAGCTTAAAAATGTTAGTTTATGATATGATATAAAAACTGTAAGATAATATTATTGAAATTTCCAGGAAATAGTTATTTACATATATTACAAGTGGGAACATAGACCTAGAAACATAATTACAGTACGAGTGTGGAGAATTGCACGACGAGGTCGTAGACCGAGTCGTGTAATCACATAAGTACTGTAATTATGCTCTAGCCCACGTGTGATATACAGCATTTTATCTACGACTGCTAAAAATTACTAAAAAATCAATTTCTTTAAAAAGTCTATTTGACATTTATAGAAATATTTTGAAATGATTGTTGACAATTTTGAATTGTCAGTTTCAACAACATGTTTACTCATCTGGAATAAGTGTTTTGAAATGTAAAACTATAACAATTAATGTTTATAATAAATAGTATTGTTTCTCTGTAAGTAGATAGCACTTTTTCTTTTGTATTGTTGCTTGTTTCAATAAATTAAGTCTGCTCTGATTAGGCTAAAAATGCGTTACGTAATGAAACCAGTGCGGTAATGAACTTCATTACGTAACTCAAATCACCTCAAATGAGTGCGGTAATGATGACTTATCCAAGCAGTCGTAGATAAAAGTTATTAAAGGAGAAATTGTCAAATTTGTAAATCAAATGTAATACGAAATATTCAAAAAATGATATCAACTGTATTTTTAAGAATGATGATATGATATGTGTGTTAAATTGAAGCTTAAACAGTGTTTTTTATGAAATGATATAAAAACCATAAGGTAAAATTGACAAATTTATAAATCAAAAATTATACCAAATCTTCAAAAAATCATATCAACTATATTTTTAAGAATCTTGATATAAACTATATGTTAAATTGAAGCTTAAAGATTTTAGTTTATGATATTTATAATATAATAAGGTAATATTATTAAAATTTTCAGGAACAAATTATTAAAGAACTTTATTACACAAGAAACTATCACAATAACTTATTTTAGAAATTACAAAATGTTACATTTTGTATGTGTATTGTAATAGTTTCTTGTGAAGGAACCTTTATATCTTAATCCGATGAGCTCCTGTTTTAGTTTATGTTCGTTAACGTTGTTTTCCTGAGGATGACTGTTGTACAGTCGAAACCGGTAGAAAACTAAGCTATTTACAATAAATATCATCGTTTAAGTGCAGTTTTTAATTTATTTAATTCACACGATGATAAGAAAAATACACAACTCCAACTATTTTAAAAGATGGCATGTTTAATTAAGTTTCCAAAATGGTGCAACACTTACCAATTTTCGTTTCATAATAGTTATTTATATTACAAGTGTGCTAGAAACATAATTACTGTACGAGTGTGAAAAATTGCACGACGAACTCTAAGACCAAGTCGTGTAACGTGTGATATACAACATTTTATCTACGACTGCTAAAAATTACTTAAAAATCTATTTCTTTAAAAAGGACTATTTTAACATTTATAAAAATATTTTGAAATGATTGTTAACAATTTTGATTTAATGTCAGTTTCAATAACATGTTTACTCATCTGGAATAAGTGCTTAGAAATGTAAAAACATAACAATTAATGTTTATAATAAATAGTATTATTTCTCTTTAAATAGCACTTTTTCTTTTGTATTGTTGCTCGTTTCAATTAATTAAGTCTGTTCTGATTGGGCTAAAAATGCGTTACGTAACTCAAATCACCTCAAATGAGTGTGGTAATGATGACTTATCCAAGCAGTCGTAGATAAAAAATATTCCTGCCTGTTTTTCTGCAAAGAACACGTTATTTAAAAAATTCATACTTTCGTATGCTCTTTGTATTTACTCTTTATTTCCTCTTAACTTTGTTAGAAGATGTGCCACTCAATATCTACGAATTACAAAAAGTGGTTTCAACAAGATGGTTGCCCTTATGTCTTACAAAAAGAGTCTTTCAAATAAGGTTAACCTAAAGACAAAATTAAACAAAAGGAATTATTAGTTTATTTATTATTGATTTTATTGCATTATTTTTTCAAAACTAAAACAAATGCTCAAATTGTTTGCCGTCGGCACTAATACAAGCTCTGCATCGTCGCAGAAAAGATCTTTGTACTAGTTGTGCATTTATTTTTTCTGTTGCTGTATAAATATTGTGGGGCAGTTCGGCAAGATTTTCAATCAGTTTTTAATACACTGTTTCTTTTAAGCAATCCTAATAAACAAATCTAATGCCCAGAGAATCACCCTGACGCAAAAGAGCGGCATGCCTACGCCACAGAAGGAAGAACCCCAACCAACACCTGGAACTTCCGGAACCGCCAAGGACCCCAAGAAGGGTAAAGGTAAGGTTAGTTCCGAAAAAAAGGGTAAGGGCAAAACTGCCGCTCCCAAAATTGCACCCGCCAAACAATAATGGCGGGAGTAGGCTTCATCCAGGCCAACATCCAGCACTGTACATAAGCCTAGCCACGCCTCGCCTTAGTTCGCAAATCGCAAACTGGCATGTTTCACGTGAAATCACTTTAGCGGATCACAAGCATATTCGCTTTGTCATTGTAGCAGACATGACAAAACAAACAGAATTCAGAATCCCCTCACTCACTGATTGGTGCTCTTTTTGTAGACACATCATCGATGAAATCAAAACAAAGATTGAAAGCAGAGAGGATCTCGAAATAGCCTCTTTTCAACTAAACAATCTCATACATAGTGCGTATGAATCAAGCTGTCCCATAAAACACAAAAGAGCACAATCCAATGTGCCTTGGTGGAATAAGGACCTTGAAAACCAGCGAGTCATGGTTAGAAAACTATATAATAAAGTCAGGAATTCCAAACTCGAGCAAACATGGGATGTCTATAGAAAAGCCCTAACGGAATATAACTTGGCTATCCGTAAAGCCAAAAGAAAAACCTGGCGCAGCTTCTGTGAAGGCATAGACAATACGCCTACAGTTGCTCGTCTGCATAAGATCTTGGCAAAAGATCACAACACTGATCTAGGCCACCTATGCAAACAAGATGGTAAATATACAGAGGATGCTAAGGAATCGTTGGAGCTCCTACTGAGTACACACTTTCCTTCCTCAAAAGTCTGCTCCCATGCAGATGCCGACCCTGAAGTAATGGACATAACCCGTCCATCAGGTAGGGTTCGCAGCACAGCTGGAAATATTTTCACACCCAACAGAGTAAGGTGGGCTATCTCGAATTTCAAGCCCCTAAAATCACCTGGAGGAGATGGAATTCTGCCTATCTTTCTGCAAAAAGGCTTAGAAGAACTTCTCCCAATAATAATATCCCTATATATAGCTAGCTACAGCTTTAGCTATATACCCACTCTATGGAGGAAAGTAAAGGTGGTCTTCATACCTAAAGGTGGTAGGCGTTCAAACGCGGACCCCAAGGCGTACAGACCAATCGTACAGACCAAAAGGTAATCGATCAATACCTAAGGAATGGAGTGCTTGTCACAAATCCACTCCACCCTAGCCAACATGCTTACCAGAAAGCAAAATCAACAATTACCGCTCTCCATGCTTTGACAATTGCAACCAAAGAGATAGCCCTTTGTGCTTTCATAGATATAGAGGGTGCATTTGATAACACCTCATATGAATCCATAGAGAAGGCTTTAAACGTAAAAGACATACATCCGTCGACAATCAAGTGGTGTATAGCCAAGTCGGCAGATCACAGCCAGTCTGGGAGGCGAGTCGCTGACTATAAAGGCGCTAAGAGGATGTCCCCAAGGGGGAGTGCTATCACCTCTATTATGGTGCCTGGTAGTTGATGACTTGATGAACACCCTAACTAATAACGGATTTAAGATACAAGGGTATGCTGATGACATGGTAATCACAATCCGAGGTAAATATGATTCAATCATAACTCAGCTAATGCAGAAAGCCCTACTACTCACCAGTACTTGGTGCAGAAGCAATGGGCTCAGCATCAATCCCAATAAAATCGAAATAGTCCCTTTCACTCGGAGAAGGAAGCTATACAAATAAAAGCACCCTCCATTGAAAGCAGAACTAATAACCTCAAAACAGAAACTAAATACCTAGGGGTAATACTTGACAGTAAACTAAACTATAACTCACACTTAGATAAGGTGAGGAAAAAGGCCATCATGGCAAACCAGATCTACCGCAGGATCCTAGGAAGGAACTGGGGTCTCAAACCACGAATAGCTCATTGGGCCTACGTAGCAATAATCAGACCCATGGTCGCCTACGCCTCATTGGTTTGGTGGCCAAAAACATAACATAAGACAGCTCAACAACAGCTGGCACAAATCCAGCGGTTAGCATGTCTTAACATAACGGGTGCAATGAGATCCTGTCCGACGGCTGCTTTGGAAGCCCTATTCGGTCTCACACCGCTCCACATATATATACAAAAGGAGGCAGCCTTAAGTGCCTTATCACTGAAAACAGTTTCTTCACTCAAGTTGAGGCAGGGTAATCTCAGAGGACACCTCGAGATCCTCAAAGACCCATGATTGAAATTAAAACGGACCTTATACCGACGGAATACAATTTCAACCAACCGTATAAGGTCATATTTAGTAGCAGGGATGATTGGGCGAAAGCAGGGCCTCAACTAAAAAGAGAAGCCCTAGCCTGGTACACCGATGCTTCAAAGACAGTAAGATCTGGAGTAGACATGGGCATCAGTGGACCAAATAGCCACATCAAATTGCCCCTCAGCTCGGACTTAACAATTTTCCAAGCAGAAGTTCTTGCTATAAACTTCTGCACCGCTTTGAACCTACAGAAGGGACAAAAAAGTGCATCCATAAACATTTTCGCAGACAGTCGGGCCGCCTTAAAGGCAATTCAGGACTACACGTGTGGCTCCGCACTGATCAGAGAGTGCACCAACAACCTGAGAGAACTCGCTAGGGGCAAGGATGTTACCCCATGGTGGGTTCCAGGTCACAGCAACATTGAGGGCAATGAGAAGGCCGACAAGCTGGCCAAAGAGGCAGCAAACACGCCCTTCATTGGACCCCAACCTGGATGTGGACTACAAAAAAGCCACCTAAAACAAATAATCAACAACTGGGAGGCTTCAAAGATAACCTTACGCTGGAAAGAACTTCCAGGTCACAGACAAGCGAAGAGTATGATAACTCCGTCGCAAAACAAAACCAAAGAGGTTTTATGCCTCAGCAAAGGGGATCTAAGAACGCTCTCAGGCTAGCTGACCGGAAAATACCACCTCTTCCACATTGGACAAGCTGAGGATCAAACTTGTCGACTATGCAACGACGAGTCAGAAACTGCTGAACATATACTGTGCAATTGCGTCGCCAGAGGACGTCTAAGGCACAACGTCTTCGGTAAAACTTCCCTGTTACCTACCGACATAAAGGTTCAAGACCTCAGGACAATACTAAGGTTCATTAGACATTTGCCCTAAACCTTTGGAGGGCTAAAGTTACAATAGATCTTATAGGTCGCGGTAACGAGAGGGGCCGCCCTCCTCAGCCCGGCAGCAATAATAATAATAATAATAATGCCCAGAGAATGAGGAGGCCATGTAATCGAACCAAGATGCCCAATCCATCTTTCAGGATATTCTGTATGCAATCCCGTACAGGACAAGCATAATGAGCTGGGCAACCATCTTGTTGAATCTTGTTGTGTGGCATATTTTTAACAAAGTTGATAAATTATTTTGGAGGAAATACAAATAACATATGATTTTTTTGAATAACGCCTTTTTTGCAGAAAAACAGACAATAATATTTTTAGAAAAAGAAAAATGGCAAGTATTATATCATTTTGGAAACTTGACTAAGCAAGCCATCTTTTAAAATAACTTGCCAAGAGTGTTGTACTACTCTCCTCTTTTTAGAAATTGTGTATCAAACTTAATAGACATAAATTGTTTCAACCTTAACTTAATCAAACAAATTTTTCTTTTGCAAAACTAACGACTTTTGTTGTTTGATTTATGACTTCTATAGCAAAGTTCATAAATTCGTAATAATTTCTGACCGTAGTACCTAAAGATATAATTTTTCACATTTTCAAAAATATGTCTATTACTCCTTAACTAAGAAATATGGATTTTTTTCTTATTTTTACCAGAACACGTAAGAGTTGGCCTCTCACCACGTTGAGGTTCGGGACATTTTGTATATTTTAAAGCTAGATGGCTTCTTTTTCAATAAATTACTCAAAAAAGAAAATCATTTCGGAAGTGAAATCGAGATTTAATGGTCTGTACCGAACGAATTCCGAACGTAAAACCCTTTTTGAATGGAAATGGATCGCGTTTAAATTAAATCCGGTGAACAATAAGGTTTGAAAGGAAAGGGGAACCGAGAAAAAACTTACCTTTCATTATCGGCACGGTTAGCGATTTCTCATAAACGGTCGATTCCGATTCAGTCTTGTACAATAGCCTGAAAACAAAAATAAAAAATAACTCAATTATTCCCCCCTTTTATCCTTATCCGTTTATATTTTGCATCCCTTATCTCAACTTGTTTACTTTTCATTATAATTCATGAGAAAAACCGACAAAGTCGCTTTACTAAAACATTTTTGTTTGATATTTTTAAATTGTAGTAAAATCTATTTAATAATTTATAATTGTGGGCGAGCTTTTGGTGGGATTAGTATTGCTCGATTTAGTAAATTTACTTCGAGGTATTTTCTCCCTTTAGGTTTTAAGTGGAATTAGATTAATTTAGTAAATGGCTGTGGGGCTGCTTCGACGGAGTGTTTTAGAAGTTTGAATTTTGTGTGGGTGCGCACATTCTTCACCGCTTATTAGCATATTGCTGGGCCCTCCTACCTGAGCTAAACGAGAGTAATTTTAAGGTTTGTTAAACTCCACGGAATTAATTAAAAATGGAAATAAAATATTCCTTTATGGGAAATAAGCATGTGTTGCGTACAACCCCGATAAATTTTTAAACATAAAATAACAGGTGGTCTTTTAGTTAATTCTAATATTGTTTTGCAAGTCATATTACACGTGCCGTTTAAAAAGTCTGCGCTAGAAAAATGGTAATCACCTCCAATATAAATTACAAACGTCCCGCATAACGTCTACGATTTACATAAAATTTAAAATTTTCTTCCATATATCACAACGAGGTGCATTATGAATGTATATTAATGCACATGTGCACGTGTTGTAGTTCAACGGCGGCGACGACGACCTCTCTCGTCTCGGAAGCAGACCAGAAGCAACAAGTCTCCGGGTAAACAATCGATAATAAACAAACAAGGGGTGGGATGTGTTTATTTTTTGATGGTTGGGGGCCTCATTTCGCGTTCATAACATGGATGGGGATAGGGGGTGAAGAGGGGTTGTTTTAAACCCTATATCCGTTAATTCTCATCTATTCTCTTGGATCTCGCTCAATTCAATAAGGACTGAAACCATAGTTGAAATTAGTAATCCATTAGTGTAACCCATTATCCATGACAATCTGATTATAGGGATATTGAAGTCTTTATACAATGTATATCATATCTATATGGTTGTATTTTTAGTATTTAAAGTAATTTCAAATATTCTCAATGTTACAAACTTTTATAGTGTCCATCTATTTTACATGCCGATATCTTTGTTGTCTTTAGAAATATGGGAATATTAAATACATCGTTAGGAAGTTTGATCTTTCCTTCATCTAAAATCGGGTATTATCCTGTTGGTATCTTGATATCAATAGCGAAAAGAAATAAAGAACGTCGCCGTGTACAAATACGTGTTAAAATTATCTAACTTCAAGCTTGTGTGTAGCAGTTATTGAACCGAATTTAACACGTTGACTGCCAACTACGAGATAACTCGTAGTGTACGTTCTGGCCTAGGACGCCAAGTACGAGTTATCTCGTAGTTTGTTTATTTTCCATAACCGTAAGTTAGCATTATATTTTAAAAAAACAAATGTTTCCATGAACAGAAAATTTATTAATAAATGAACAGAAAATATAGTACTATCTGATTTATATAAAATCATTATTGTCTTTATACAAAATAATACGTTTATTGTTTATGATCTTTTTGAAACAATCTTTCACACAAAGGGCTGGTTTCTCTTCACAAACTGGGCAGAAATAACGCGTTTCTCGGCGTTGTTTAGCCCGAGTACAAATTCGACATGGCTTTATGGGCCGCTGTTTTTTCTCGCTGGGTGGAATACACCCCAAATAATGAAGATTTTGCAATCTTATTTTCTCCGCAACTGGTTGAAACTGTTCTCCCATCGACGCAATGACAAATTCTTCCCTAAATTTTATTAGTTTTATTTTAGATGCAGTTACTTTTTGAAATATTTTATGCGCATTGTGTATATATATTTCTATAATGTGTAAAGCAACTTTTTTAGGGCACCTAATAGTTTTTCTTAGGCATGTGTAGTAAGCCAGCATTTGATCTAATCGATCAATACCAGACATTCCTTTATTATAATCTCGAATTATATTTGGTTTCGTCGAAAGTTTACCATTGCGATTGGATACCTCCACCATTTCAACAATATGCATGTTTGAAATAGTCAAGACTTCTCGTTTGTCTTTCCATTTACATACAG